TTAGCAATTAATTCTGGTTGAAAAGTAAGGAATTGAAAAATAATGGAGAAAATMATGTTAAGATTTTCTGTCACAAAATATACCTCATTTTGACCWATAAATAAAGCAAGTTCTCACCCTCTTCCCCAGTCTGCAAAGAGATCAAAGGTGAAACACCAGATATGAGACTGAACAAAATATTTTACTCCACCCGAAGCATTTTTGTGAAGTTTATTTTTTCACTTTGGCCATAAAAGGCAAAGCTGGTTATTTGCAGAGCTTTATTTGTAAGCTTTCCCTCAGCTCCTGTGGAGGCCAGGTGTCTGCTGGCAGGGRAGGGAGGGAATGTGCCCCACATCCCTTTTTCTCCATGGAACACGCCATTAATGACCCAATTTTGCYGGAGGTTTCTAATGCTCTTACCAGGGTTTCATGGCATGGGGAAGCTTTGCACTTCCCCCATTAGGGCAGGTACYTGGTTGTGGCTGGGTTCCACGCTAGTGCAAACATCTCACAAATCTAGTCAGAAATAATTGGGATAACAGGGACTCCTTAGTCTTCGTTCACTCGAGGGTCACGGGACGTCAGATTTGACTTTGCTATTGAAGTCAGCTAATGTACTGGAAATGCCTTCATTTTCCCCCTCTGGAGGCACGGGTTCAAATCTGCCATAAATTACAAGTGACACAGGTTCAGTGGTCTTAATTAAATCCCACGAGGTTATTTTGGTGTGTCAACACTCCCCTTCTCCTCCCTTGGAGGAGCAGCCCAAGGGCAGGGAGGACTCCTGTGCTGCAGGTGGGAATTCAGGGTGCTGGAGCTGCCTCTGGGCTGGGCTTCAGCCAGATCCTGACTGGTATCAGTCTCCGTTGGACTCGTGATGTAGTGGATATTCTTCGTGGATCCAAAGCATTCAATTCAGTGCAGGATCGTTATTCCTTGTAGGGAGATAACTGGCTATAGAGGATTTCTGTTATCCACAGCATCTCCCCGGCCCAGGATCCATTGATTTCCGATCTCCTCGGGAAAGGTGCAGAATGGGGGTGATCAATGCTACAGTGCTGATGTGAATAAAGTGTGTCCCCTCATCTGCATTATCAACAGCCCGCTTCTGATATCCTGAGCTGACCTGGTCATGACTGTCTCTTGCACAGATAAATTCGCTGGCTGTTGCTGACCTGCCTTGAAAGCCTTTGGAATTGGGGCGAATCAGAGCCAGTGCAGCTTTTCCAGGGAGTGGTTAGGCTGATTCAAAACCTCTTTTAAGCTGATGCTTTTGTAAAGGCACTGTATGTTGCTAACGTTTCTCTTAGCTTGGATTTAAGTTAAAARCTTTAATTGGTCTCCTGATTCTCCTAGAAGTACATTTTGAAAAAGAAAAAAACCCCAGAAAGCTAGGAAAACCCACCCCCCAGCCCCAAAATGTGCCATTTAGAGAAGAACTGTTTAGAGAGCAGGTTTTTATTTAATAAACAGTGATCAATTGAATTGATTAACCATGAACACATTACAGCAGAGTTTGTTGTTGCTGCTGCTGATAATTGCAGTTCACGTGCATGAGAATATTAAATGGCTGTTTGCAGGATCATTTTCATGCTCTTCTCATTTAAYAGAATGGAGAAAACAACAACTGTTGACAGTGATTTTGGTTGGGACTGGAGCGCTGCAGACTGTGCCCTCAGGATGCCTGTGCAATAACTCTATCAATTGTGGCCATTTACTCTGCACTCCCAGACATTTCTGCAAACCTTGCAGCTGTTTTTTTACTAATTCGCTTGGTAATTAGATCTTATCATGCTGGCTCCRTGGCTTTACATAAACTGTAAGCATTTGGAGCTGCCATGTGAGACGTTTTAGAGTTGTCTGTGCTGTTCTGTGCTGCTCTGCAAAGACCAAGGTGCTCTCAAAATGCAGTAGAGACGAGGGGGTGGTTGTRACAGACGGGTTCCTGCTGATTTGAGAAGATTTCCATAGAGGATAAGAGTTCCTTCACTTACATGAACAACTGGAAGCCAAGTGGCAGTGATGGATTCATCCTGCTGGATTCTGAGCACCAACTGGGCTCTCTGCCTCTACCTTCCCTTTGACCCTCCAGTACAAATCCTTGTTTTCAGCAGGAGTTGGGGGCTTCAGTAAAAGTTTTTACCATTTTAGGTATCCTGTTGATGTTAAGGGAATGTTTGGGAAATGATGTTAAGGGATGTTGAGGGAAATCACGGTCCTGTGAGCTCAGGGTGAGGAATTGGTTTCAGTCATGCCCAAATATGTGAATGAAAAGACGTGAGCCCTTTTGGGGCAGCAGGTCACCTTGGAATGGCTGGATACAGTTTGGGAACTGTGGATGCACTGCTGGTGGAAGGGTCTGGCTGGCACAGACCTGACAGATCTGACAGGAAAAGGTGCTGTGCCAAGGGCTGGGCAAACATCAGAGCATCTGATGATCTTCCCAWAGAGGAGGAGAAGATGGGTCATTCCTGTGCAAACTCACGATTTGCAGTGAAACAGTTTTGTTCCATGGCTAAAGATCTTTTCCAGTTTGATCTCCCCAGYGTGGTGGGGTTGTAGAAGATGTTTCTTTGTGGCTGGTGGGTCCAGCCACACCAAACCTTGGGGTTCTGCTGGTTCTGTRCTGTGCCAGGGAGAGGCTGAGGGTGGTTTAGTTTAGTTTGCTGTCTGTGGGGTCACTTCAGYCACAATCTGGTTTTCTGGTTTGCACTCTGTGTTCTTTGCACTTCCACTGGGAGGACCAGCCAGCCTGGGTGTGCTGCAGAAAAATGTCTATGCTCTTAGGAGCTGAGAGAATAATCTCAGGGAAGGTCCCGTAAAAGGCAACTTTGCAAGGTTTGCATCTCTTAGAAGCCCACCTAGTTAGGGATGAAACTCGGTTAACAGGACCCCAAAGAAAGTTTGAATGTGGCAGATGTCAGTGTAACATGCAACTCTAAAGGCTTTTTTTTTGTGTTTAAACAAATCATTAAAAAATTTTGCAAGAAAATCTCATGAAGTATGCAAAATTATTATGGGGAGAGGCAGCTTTTCCAGATGGGCTTCGGTGCTTGTGTCTGTCAGGTGATACTGGCAGATGTCATCATAAAGGTACTTTTGGCACTTGTAAAAGCAGTGATAGTAATGCAATAGCTGTGAAGGTCTAAAAAAGGATGTGARGCAATGTCTGTGGGGAGAAGGGACACATTTTACTGGGTAACTGATGTAGCTGGGGAAAAAAACCATAAACTTTAGGGGACAGGGGCCCAACTTTCTGGAAGTTTTGTGGAGCTCTGAAAAGAGACAGCTCAAGGGCTGTGCAGGTCTTTTGAAATTCAGCTTGGATAGCACAGTGAGGCTTTAAAAAAGGGTGCTCTAGTTTAGGGATTTTTTTTTTTTAAAGCAGAACTCTTGTACCTCGTCCTTAAATTGGTGCTTAAAATTTAGTGCTCCAGTGGACCTGATCTTTTAAGACTGACTAAGATTTCTGGGGCATGCTGGAAGAACCCCTTTGGAACCCCTAGGGTTGATCACCTCAGAAGAATTTTTCCCCATTCCCTTCTTGCCATGAAGGATACCAGTAAAAATGTCAGAGGTGTTCCATTAGAACCATTAGAAAAGTCTGCAGAGGTGATCTTTTCTCCTTCAGAACTTYGTAAAAGTTGCTGTAACATGTTTTATGCAGTGTCGTCATCTCTGTGAAATCATGGGTATAACTTAGTTTGCACTTGTGCCAAAAATGATATTTTGGGCCCTTGGGTGAATTCACTGAATTTACACTGTAAAGTGTAATAATTTCAGAAAAAAAAAAGAATTTGGACTGAGTGAATGTGCTCTGCTTCCTGTTGTGCGACAGACCTTGGCATCTGCCACAGACCATGCAGTAATGCCCAGTGTATGTGCWTTTTTTATCACCCTCAGCCCCAGCGCAGTGGAAATCTAAAGTTCAGTTTGAAATCTTTAAATTAGCACTGCATGCCTCACAAATAAATCCTCCAAGTCACTAATGGCTGATGTGCCCATAAATTTCAGGGATGGTGGTGAAGCAGGCGCTGCAGGTAGATGGATCTCAGGACACCTGAATGGTGACAGCAGCATATGCCACTGGGATTTTAATAATGGCAGCAATAATAACAACAATAACATCTTTTTAAACATAGATATCTAATTTAAATAAGTGGATTCAAACATGGGGTACATATCTGTTCTGCAGAACACAGAGAGAGTTATCCTGGCTCTGGGCAAATGATGACGCGGTCAGACCTGAACGATAAATTAATTACCCCAGGAAAGTAAATGCTTTAATTTGGAGAGAACTCTGTGCCCTGTAGATACCCTGGGTCATTTGAAGGGACCTGGGACATGAAGCTGTGGCTGTGATTTTGGGGTCCAAGCCTGGCTCTTTAATCAGGCTCTCATCTCCCCTCGGCGGTGGCCGTGGGGAGGGTGCTCGTTCCTCCATTGTGTGGGAGCATGTGGAGAGAGAATTTACTCCTCGGGTTCTGAAAGCTCTGTGTGAACTTCAATATAACGGTGCCAATTTTAATCAAAGAAATGTACTGTGGATGTCACCTGCATTTTTATCCAGTTCTCTTTGACAGAAATAGAATTCAGAGTCCTGCTAGCGATAGAAAGGGCAGAAAAGCCCACTCCTAGGCTCATTTTGCTTGCTGTTATTCTGCTACCATAATTACCTCTAAACATAATTATGGGCAAGACAAATGACATTTTTAGCTTTGGTCTTTAAAGACAAGAGTTAATTTCAGGCTTTGACCAGAGCTATGTTAATTAGCCCCTACTCACTCTCTTTGTGTGGAATTACATCACCCAGGACTTAGCATAGGTTGCCTTTCCTGTATCTTTGAATAATGAAAGGACACGGCATGGCAACCAAATCAAGGGCTGCTGCATTAACAAGGCCACTTTTCTGCCCATTTATCATCTATTAAAGGTGCACTAGTTTGTAAAGTAACACCACCTTCAGCAGGGCCGCCAAGAACAGCTCCTCATTTATTTTCTGCATGGTTTAAGTTGGAGTTAGACCCACCTTGTAGCTCAGAGGTGACAGCCAGTAAGAAAAAGTACACTAATTGAGACATCTCAAGGGAGAAATAGAAGAAAACTGAAAAGGTAATTAGAATGAGAGGGTTTCAAGCTGGGTAAGTAAAATCGAATGGAGGTGCATATTAGGGGCTGTTACAGATGGGAAAGAAAGTACTTGGAGAATAAAAAAAGAAAAATGAATATTAGAGAACAGAGCACCCTTTTCACACTTGAAGAATAGAGGATAGAGATAAAAAATAATGTAACAGTGGAGATACAGGCTGGGGGAAAAAAAAACCTCCAGAAGTATGAAGGACATATTTAAATGTAAGCGAGAAAGAATAGGGAGAAATAATAGAGCAGATCAATTACTAGACCTGTAGCCAAGAAAGGAAAAACTGTCAAATGAATATTTCTGGAGCTGTGGAAAAGTCTCCTTCCTTTGTGGGGTATGTAGCATGTGTTTGCTCTGTGTGGGAGGGGTTTCTTTTGGGGGCTAAGCCTGGATTTGAATTTGCTGCAGTGTCAGTAGCTCAGATGGAATGGTGAGGTGAATGCCTGCCTGGGCAGAATTGGGTTAATAAGATGTTATTTGGCAGAGTTTGTAGGTGATACCAGGACCTTCTTCTAGTGGCTGAAGTTTCAGCCCCTCTGATTTTCCCTGGGTGTTTACAGTGTCCATATTAGGGACATGTTAAGGTTTAATTGCAATTTTTTCATTCCCTGCTTGAAAAGAATCACCCAGGTTACCCCAAGGACATTTCCACCCCCGCCCAGGGAAGCTGAAGTCGCTCTCGTTCCTCAGGCAGATGCACACCCAAACCAAAGCAATCACATTTTTGGTTAATTAGTGGAAGGTGTCCACTGCAGCTCATTAAGGTCACAGAGGGTTGGGATTTCTCCTTTTGCCCCTTCTGAGGCAGGAGGCTGGAAGTGAAGAACACCTTCATTGGCAGGAGGAGAAGCTTCCTCTGGCTGCAAGGAGGAGGCTACAGATCACAAGAATGGTTTGAGTTGTAGCAGACCTTACAGATCATCTCATTCCACCCCCTTCCATGGRCAGGGACACCTTCCACTGCCCCAGGGTGCTCCAAACCCWGTCCARCCTGGCTTTGGACACTGCCAGGGATCCAGGGACAACCACAGCTTCTCTGGGCACCCTGTGCCAGGGCCTCACCACCCTCTCAGGGCAGAATTGTTTCCTAATATCTAATTAAAAGTCACCATCTTTCAGTTTGAAGGAATCTAAATCTTCTCCCTTTCAGGGAACTTTGACCTCAGAGCCAGTWCCAGGTGACCTATTAACCCTAAAACACCCATGGTCTCAGTGTCCAGTGTGTTGGAAGGACCAAAGGAAGTTCTGTGTCCCAAGGAAGTTCTGCACAGAGGGACTGAGCTAAATCTAACCAAGAAATTCRTGCTTGCACCCTCAAGTTAGGGAGTCTGGGACTTGTTTGTACAATGTCGTGTACAACAACCTTGGGGTGTCCTGTGCAAGGCCAGGAGTTGGACTCRATGATTCTCRTGGGTCCCTTCCAGCTCAGGATATTCTGGGRTTCATTTTATGCTGTTTGTAGTTACCAAGTTTTGTCTTTGAAATTAATATTCACTCACTGTGGAAATGGAATTTTCTGAGCCAATKACGGTATTTGTGGTTTTAATTGTCAGTCTCACTAGAGCATCTTTCCGATGCATTGTCTGTCAGATTTTCCTTTTCTAAACTTTGCTGATAAAATTGTCAGAAAAGGGTTTCTTGTTTTGTAAAAGTTGTRCTGGATTCTGCTCAAAATTTGGAAAACTTTGAAGCTGTTAATAACAGTCTGGCTTTTTTTTTTAACCACTGAAAAATTTTATACGCTTGAGCAAAACCTGTTTTCATATTTCCATTTTATTTTTTTTTTTATTTAAGATGATCAGCCTAGAAACTTATAGAATTTTAATTACATTTCAGAGCCTAATTTCCTGAGAAATAACTAAGAGCTTTTGAAAATTTGTTAAACTGAAAGAAGAAAATACACCTCAAAAAAGTAATGCCCACAAGTATTTMAAAAAGCAAAGATATCAGAAATTTAAAACAATCTGTGAAGTTAGACATACTCTGGCTATTTCCCATTATTGTAAAAGCCATTTTTATGGCAGAAATGTTCATGGACAGACAGGATTGCAGTGTTTGAAGAAAGGAAAAAAAGTCGATCTTTGCCCCAAAATGATTGCCTGAGTTGTGGAAATGCTGTGACCACGAACTTCCAGGATAACAAACCATCCTGTTCTTTTCTTTTGCAAGACGTAGCCAACCTTCTGCAGGAGGAAATGGTGGCAAGTTCAGTGGGAAACGACAGAGCTCTCAGTCCCAGAGTTCCAAAGATCACAAACTCCCTCTAAGGACTTGAAAAACAAAGAGAACCCTGTGGCAGAGAATATTCTTCTTCATTCATCATTTGAAATCCTGCCTCTAAAAGTGTTAAGAGCAAGTTATTTTCAATATGAGCTAGCCCCAGGGGATTTGATAAAAGGCACTTTTCTTTTCCAGCTGGCTAATCAAAAGTGGTCTGCAGAAGACTTTAGTGACTTGGATGGCAGTTCTGAGACTCCCCCAGACTCAGCAAACTTTTCTGATCCCAGGAACCAAAAAACAAAGATGTGTCACAGGCCTGACTGAATAYGGGAGCAGGGAAGACAGAGCTCATTCATCAGAAAGCCTGGAAATCCCCCGAGGAAAGGTGGAAAACCAATTAATATCTCATCTGCAAGCTCCTATAGGTTGTCCAATACCGAACTGTTCCAAGTAAGGAAAACAACTTTCATGTTTGAGAGACATTTGTCTTGCTTCCGCTCAAGATAATGTTACACAGAGTTTTCTCAGAGAGTTAGAGTCTTTCTTAGGCACAGCCTGCTCTTCCAGTGCTGAATGAGCATYTACCAGAGCCTTCTTCTGAGGCTAAAAGTTTGGGATTTGCAAAATTGGCTTTCCTTTCTTGGGAGGAAACACACACCTGTTTTGTCCCATCCCTTAAAAACGTTCAGTTCCTTGTGGACATCTCCTGGCACCAGCTGGGGATCCACTCAGGAGCAGGAAGATGGATTARCTCTGAGGAAAAGCCAGCAGGGACGAGGGTCTGGCTTCCAAATCAAGGAGTCTGAAATGTAGAAATTGTTTTTTCTCATGTCAGCAATTTTGCTTTTGTTTCCTCGTGCTGCACTGGGGTGGTCCTTTAGGCCTATGTCCTAAAGTCAGTGCATGGGATTGAACATACTTTGATTTCCTCCAGTATTGGTTTGTGCAATTAAACAACACTACTGTAGATGGTCATGGAGATATACATGCATACATATATATATATATATATACATACATTAAAATTATGTGATTCCATCTTCAACAATTGTTGCTTGGTTACGCTCACAAAAAAAATCTGAATTGGAGCAACGTGTGTCAGAATAGACCCAAAGTATTTAAAGGTTCATTTATGATCCAATTTASATTTGATAACAAGGGAGTTGCTGAATGAACTTCCCTGTTCTCAGAGCAGACAACTACCTCAGAATTTGTGAGCCATATTCCTCAAAGTACCTCATTTTTCCATCTGTCCCTTGTTTATCTGTGTTTCTGCTAGGAAATGCCATCAATTATTTCCTAATGCTTGAGTTCTGCTTTTTGGGYTTTATTTCTTATGCACAATCATGTGTGGTGTGTATGGAAAATGTGTCTCTGTGTTGGTGTATTTATTCTCTCCATGCTGTGATGTTGCTGTCCCTGTCCATGTCCGGATCCAGGCAGAAAAATGAGATGAGCAAATGGAAACCAATGTCATTAAATGTCTGCAAAAGCTTCACCCAAATGTTGTTAACAGGTGGAGGGAGCAGATAACACGTGCCCTCTCTGCCTTCGCTGCTGGTGGGGGGCACACGCGACAGAGTTTGATGCYCTTCAGCAGATAATCTTGTGATTTCTCATCTCCTTGAAAAAACTGCCTGCTTTTGAATTTCTGCTTGCCATTTTGAAAAGCTTAGCTTAAACATCATCATTAATTTGGCTTACGGTTCAGTAATGATTACTAATATTTGGCACCACTACCTGTCAGCCCATTTATCCCCAGAAACCTGGCTGCCTTAGAAGTTCTGTCTCTCTTTTCTTCTTCTTCTTCTTTTTTTTTTTTCCTTGTTTTCCCGTTAAACAGTGGGAAAAGCCCCTGAATAATTCATCAAGAACCTTTTACATTATGAAAAATATAATCAGCTGGCAGTGCTGAGGTTTCTTATTTCTACAGGATGCTAACTCGAGTATTACAAGTGACTGCAGGATTGATGCCAGAAGGCAGTAGGTGTGGATACACAGAGTCCTCTGTTCCAGTGTGGAGGGCTCAGGGAAGGCTGGGCATTCCTCACCATGCCTACCTAGTGCCAATTAATAATTTAAATCCATTAATCGCTTAAGATGAACACTTAGTGTTGCTTGACTCACCACCACCAAGTGGAGGGGGTTTTTCCGGGTTAAATAAAAGATCTTAAAATTTTGTCTTCTTGCAAGGGAGCTGGGAGTGCCACGGCTTCCTTCGTAAGAGGCTCAGTTTTTTTATTTGGGAGGAGGGGGGTGGGTGTTCCTATGCCAAAAGCGCTTAGGCAAACAGTAATATCCATACATCATAAGTAGATGTCGGGGAATATTAGCTGTTTATTTCCCTGACATGCTCTGAGGAGTCTGTGGGGGGCTCTTGCAGGAGTCAGGACCTCGATGTAATATCCCAGCTTTGATTCTGATATTTCCCTTGATAACCGTGCTCTACCATATTGGGGTCGGAAGTCAGCAAAGGTTCATTGGCTGTTGTAATGCTCACTGTCACCAGTAATAAGTACAAAGGACTTGCTTTAAAAGCTGGCTTATAAAACTTTAAGGAAACTTGGATTGCTTAAGTGAACTTCCAAGGCTCTTCAGGGGCCAAGTGCACTTTGGTTGTCTACTTATATTAATTTCACAGAGTTTAAAGGGTCAAGCAATGCAGTTGGTGATGCTTATTAATTTATGAAACACAGAACCTTGCACTATCTCGCTTTGACCACTTTCGCTCTCCTTTTAGAAAATTTAATATACATTAAAGCTCGCTAGACAGGGGCRCCCTAAAGGATTAAGCCCAAAGTTCACAGCTGGACTAAAAGGTTCAAAGACGTTGTATCTGCAACGCTGATTTGATTCCAAGTGACGTTCAAACAACAGAACCAAATTGTGGATGTTTGAATGTGTAAGGAAACAGCAATTAGAGGAATACCACAGAACAGCAAAGGATTAGGATTTATTTTCCTTAAAATGGTAAAACTGATTACAGCCTTACTCTTTCTACCATRGGGGGGATGTGTTTGATCACATCAGCTTTTGGGGTCAGTGCTTGTCAAGAGCGTATTTTGGTGTTACAATACAGCTTGCCAAGCTCTGGAGGTTCATGCAGGCCTTGTAACTTTACAGAATAAATTTGATTGCTGTGGCGATGTGAACTGAGTTCTAGATAGGGAAACATGAGCCAGAAGGGAAGAAAGGAAGGAGGAATGCATAACTACTGAAGTAACAGGGTTAGGATTCAAAAAGTTGACTTAACCCATCCAGGGGTATTTCTGCATTCTGTTTACTTGCCTTTAAATTGCTTTGGGGTCTTGTCCAGGGGAGATAATTCCAGAAGCCATTCCCACCGAGGCTGCAAATTGGATACTGAGTTCAGGTGACAAAGGGAATGTTATTGCAAAGCTGCTGGGAAAATTAGAAAGCAGATTGGCCCTTATGGTTGGTCTGTGTGGTCTCCTCTTGGAATCAACAAGAGGGAGAGGAGAATGGAAAACAGGGGAATGAAGTGTGTTCCACTGTAGGGAAGATGAGTTTATTCAGCCAGTTTGTAAAGGGGGAAGCAAATTTCGTGTTATGCCAGGTCWGATTCCTGAGGCCTTAAGGAACCTTGAGGAAGCAGCTGTACTTCAGTGGAAATTTGCTGTTGCAAGGAGAGACTAAACCCTATGAGGAGTTCCAGTGCTGAAGAGAGCCTCAGATAAGATTGTGGGGCCCTGTTGTGCATCACATGCAGGGAGACTCCGGGGCTGGAGATGATTCTTAGCTTTTATGGGTGAAAAAGGGCAAAAACGTGGGGGAACAAAACAGCCAGGAAGATTTGTGTGTGATTTGTGGCACTTCATTTCCAGCCAGAGAACAGAACTCACATGTCCAGGACTTCAGCAGCCTTACCCTTGTATTTTAAACCCTTTAAACAGAGAGAACAATGCAGAAAATCCCAGAGGACACACGAGAAAAGGGGTTGTACCTAATCCCTTTATCATTTCTTTGCATTTACTTGCTAACAAAATATATTTTTCTTTAGAATGACCCCAGAGATTTTATACTATGGGGTATTTGGTTTAAAATGTACTGTAACCTTCCTTTTTTTTTTTTTTTTAATTGATCAGATCAGCCTTGAACACTCAAAGAAAAATCTGCCTGCTCTGAATATTGCCTGAGGATTTATTTTTTTTTTTTTTTTTTAATTGATCAGATCAGCCTTGAACACTCAAAGAAAAATCTGCCTGCTCTGAATATTGCCTGAGGATTTAGAAAGGTCTTTCTTGGAAACAGAAGAAGAAGATGAAACAATTATCTGTAAAGCATGGTAAGAGAGAAAAAGAATAAAGGAACGAGTTATGTTTGACTTGTCTTCTTCCAAGAGATTTTTTTTTTTTTTTTGGATTTTAGAGTAGACTTTAGATGTGGGAGATTTGCAGTCTCTTGCTCGAAGAAGCTTGAAAACACAAGCAATTTTCCTCCCTATCTGGTAACTTGTAGACCCAAAAAAGTCTTTGTTTTGGCACCTTGGTTTACAGCCAGAYTGTATTATTTGCTGCTCCAGTTGCAGGAGCAACTTTCCTAACGACAGGTGTCTATCAAACAAATGTGATCTTCCACCTGAGCAGAAGCAACACTAAAATTTCGAGTTTATTAATAAAGAAGGAGCCGGTGGATGTGAAGAGGGGACACCCCATGATCATTGGCTCTGGAGGGATGATTGTCAGTCACACCTCGATGGCATCTGCTTGCAGCTATAATGAAGAAAGATTATCATTGCTGTAAGTGACTGCAGTGACTCTGGGCAGCAAATAAAAAAGCCATTGTGGCAGTGATCAGCCCTGCCTCCCAGGTGCTGACACTGTTAAGTGATATCTCAGTGGGGTTTGGGTCCTCATTTAGTTAACTGTCGTTGAAAACCAGAAAAAAGACTCTTCTTAATAATTAATTTCATGCCATTCTCTGCATTTCTAAACTGAAAACTCACTCAAGACCAAAGTCAGCTTATTTGTGCACTGATGAGTTAGAGGAGGAGCAGTGAAAGACCTTTAAAGCAAAGACCTTGGTTTAGTATTGACATTGCCAATGGATGAGTTTTGCCAGAGCCTCTTTGGAATCCTGATGGGGTGAAGGAGGAACGAGCCATTTCCTGTGTCCTTTGGAAATGTAAAAATAAAATATTCTTTTAGTATTCCAGCTCTTCCTGGGGTGCTAGCTGCTGTTGGGAATTGTACAGAATCCAAAATGCCTCTGTGTCTGTCCTTGCCTTAATTTGTATCTTCAATTGAAGGTGTGTGAAAGGAGCCACACCATCTGCATAGAAAGGGAAAAATGTGAATAATAAAATGGACCAGCCCAGTCCTGAGAGAGCTTAGCCAAAGTGAGAAGTGACTTCAAGACTTGCTTCTCCTTTATAGATCCAACCAAGAATCCCAAAGGCTGCCTTGTTTAGCTCCTGGTTCTCCTGAGAAGGGTACCTGAGTATCTGAGTAGGTTTCCAAGACTTAAAAACCAGAYTGGAAAATATAAAAGGTACAAGGGAAACTTCTGAACTTTAAAGTCCTTTTACCATCCCSAAATTTCTGTTGTGGTCAGGGATGATGCAATGCAGAGTTGATAAATTCACCTGCTCTTATATCAGGCAGATGTAAAAATTCTAGGTTTTGCTTTGGATATTCCATYTCAGTCCAGAACAAAGGGCTAAATCCTGCTGAAACAATTCATCCCCAGGGGCTGGAGGCTATTGTCTCTAATGCACAGATGAAAGTCAGTCATATCAGCTGCAGATGAAATCACAGATGAAATCTCACTAATTAATCGCATGAACTTTGTTTCTGCCTGGTTTGAGATTCTCAGCCTTGCAGAAAGATCTGGGCGCCCATACCGTACACCTCAACGGGGCTGTTGATTTTCCAGGGAAGACTAACAATTTTTTTTTTTTTTTGTGCCTAAAATAGCCCTGCAATTACTTCTGCTCACATGGTTTTGCAGTTACAAAATGGTTTCTGAAAACTGGTTTWGTTCACACGTGATTGAGAAGATGCCCTGCGTTGTTCTGCCAAGTTAGGCTCTGATTCAGGTTTATGACCATATCATTAATATTTTAGTACTGCATCAGTAACCGGTTGCTATTAATAYGTAGTGAAACAGTGATATAAAAAGGGAGATGTTCCCAATCATTTGGCAGAATTTGCATTACAGCTGGATGAAATTTATAACACATCTTCTGCAACCTACCAGCCTGAACTCCTGTTATTAATTTCTGCCGTGTTTATTTCTCCTTTATGTTCACTTTGGGTGATATTCTATCAAGTTTCCTGGCAAGCACTGGGGTGGATATAGCTAATTTCAGCTGACTGCAGGGGAAGGACTTTGCAGAAAGTGAATTTTGAATTAGCACTAGTATTTGCAGCAAAAAACCTCCCCCTGAGAAGTGTATTCCCCTCGGCCTGGCGTCAGCAACACTTAAGTGCATGTGAATAGTCCTATTGACTCCAGGTAGGCAGCTGTTTAATTAATTCCCTGAATCATGGCCAAACCAGCTCCCAGCACGGACCTGGGTGCCTTGACACCAAATACCCGACTTGTGGGAGCGACCCACGGCCTGTTTGACTTGGTAATTTGGCAAATCCTTTCCAGCCGAGAATAAATTTGAGGAAATCATCATCTGACGCGCCRAGAGGTGAAATTTGTGCCGTGTGTTTTTCATGACGAGGCAGCTATCGCCCGGATTTATTCAGCCTGCTCGGCTCTTCCTGTTCCAACAGTGGCAGCAATGACATTTTTTTTCCCCCCACGTTTTATTTAGGAGCTGTGAGATGACAGGTCTCTTGCCTGTGCACCAGGAAAGCGGCGTGCTGCACGCAGCATGCTGCACACAGGAGCGTGAGGATAAAGAATGACATGCTACTCTGTAAGCTACAACTATTTTTCTTTTTCTATTTTTTTTTTTTTTTTTTTTTTTTTTTTTTTTTTTTTTTTTTTTTTTTTTTTTTTCTGGCTCGCATCTGCTCTTGTCCCTCTTCTGTTCTCAGATCACTCTTCAGCTTCCCTTAGGAATCCAGCTGTGTCATCACATTGTGTGGCATCCTAATATTTCATACTAAGCTGTAAGCCAATTAGGAATGACTACTTACCATGCTGAATCATAGGAAGGGAAAAGGATAATGTGTCCTTCACATAACGAACCTCCTCTTTTTTGGCAAGACAGATCACCTACACGTTATATTTGTAAGCCCTGTGGCTTTTTCACTCTACCCAATTAGGGTGCAGCTTCCTCTCACACTGCTGCAATATTTTAAGGGACTTATTTACAGATGGATGCTTATTGAAAACGCTGAYCTGCTTCCATTGTACCTCGTGCCACCTTTCATCTTCAGAGATTGAGGTGCTGGACAAAACTTGATGTTGTAATCACCTTTAACAGGAGGAGAACACGAGTGCAGCAAAATATAAATACTTTGCCCTGAGTTCCTGAATGAACTGGTGACCCTGCATGAGGGTATAACATTATCACATGCCACACAGGGTTCAGGAAGGTGTTGATTAAAGTAAAACTGTCAAATAAAGCTGTTGACTTCTAAAAGGAGGAAGAACAAGCCATTGATGTGTGTTTGGGAATGCGTGGAGTGTTTAGCAATGAGCATCAAAGATATTAAAATATATTTCCCATGCTGAAGTAATTAATGGGCTATTATGCCAGGTGTCTAAGCTGCTCAGGGGTCTGGGATAAATTGTGTTCCAGAAGAAAATGCAAAGTATTATTCAAGATTGAGTGGAATGGTGACAGTTGTTGCAGAGCCTTTAGGATGCCCCCTTTCCTCCTGCTGGTGTTTCTTTTCCTTAGCTGMTTAAGGAGCTACTGATAGCATTTATTGTCCAGGAGGAGCAGCACTCCTTTAACTTTGTTTTTGGATCCTCACAGTGCTGCAAACTGAAGACTCTGCTGACCTGTGTCTGGTACCTGGCATCCCTCAAACTTGGTTTTACCTTGTCAGTCCTCACTGAAAAGCCAACAGGGCAGAGGAGCCACTGAACTCCCCCTCAGTGATGGATTTTGTGTGCAGGGATTGCAGCCATGTGAGAGCCCTGGCTTTGGGCACCTCCAGGGAGAAAGGATCACCTCGGATTCAGCTCCCCAAACTGCATTTCCCAGAACAGCTCTGGCCATTTTTGGTGTCTCTGCTGCTCGGAGAGGTTGTAGCTAAACAAAATGTGGGAGCCACTGGTTTCAGACTTGGTCARTGAGCTCCAGCCATACCCTGCTAGGGGACAATTTCTGCTTCCTTGTTCACATCCCCTTGTTTGTCCCCAAAAAACCTTGTGAGACAAAGAAGCTTTCCCCCAATCTGCCAGAACAGAGCAGTGGTGTGTCACAACAGCAACGTGTGGGGCTGAAAGCCAGATTCAGGCAGCTGCAGGGCATTAGGGAGATGCCTTTGCTTGATGGGTAACTCATCCCACCTGTGCTGAGCCTATTTAAGGGCCCAAATCAACGTGGTGAGCTCTCAGAGTAAGGCAGAGCTGAGGATCCTGCACTGTGGGAGCTTCTGCAAGTAGAGGATGAGTATTTATGGTATTTTTCTTGCTAAGAGAATACTTGCGTAAGTTCAAGTTRGTTATGCTGTAAAGGTTTTGTGCTTTATCTGAAATAATGTTTTATTTTTTTTTTTTTTATAAACATGAGGGTTTAGAGACCTCTTGGCCTTCAAGAGAAAATTGCCTGTTTAGGAGCTGTACCTTTTGTTTTGTTATTCAAAAATGTCTCAGTGAGTCATTGCTAAAGGCCTTGCCAGCCTGTGTTACAAATTCCTTTTTTTTTTTTTTTTAAATGCAGAAAGTATATAATTTATATTGTTCCTCTCCACATAGATAAGGACTCATCTCAAATGTCAGGGWGGGGGAGGAAAAAATACATGACCCAGAGGGCACGGATATTGAATGCCCTGGTGTTGGACTTGACATTCCCCTCGTATTCCCTGTGATAACATCAATCTCAAGGAACCCTCCTGGTATAAGAACAGAGCTGCTGTGCTTAATATATATTTCCAAAGGAATTTCATAGTAATTGAGCATTAAATGATGTCCACTTATTGTAAAGCGTTTCTGTTTTTATTAAAAATTATAAATGGGCTTCAGCAGAACGGAATAYGCCAGATTCACACCGCCATCTCTATTAGTCTTTA